GGAAAGTAACGGTAATCTAATTACCATTTTTACAACAGTAATCCCTTACTTTACTCGTTACCTGAAAAAAAAGTAATCAGATTACGTGTTACTGCCCATCTCTGGTGGTGACAAAACTAATGGAATATTTTTATTGGTCATTATAACAAAACATGGAAGTGCCAAAATCAGATTGTTTTAAACAATATTTATTTGTTTTGTGTGTACATGGTAACATTACAGTTACAGTAGCTCAGTAAATAAAAATAAAAATATAGCTTTGTACAAGCAAACACCTGAATAAACATTCAACACAATTTTCTTTTAGAAAATAAATACCACATAAATACTAAAAAGAATTCACAGGTATGCAGTGAAATGGCAGCTTACATGTTATGTGACGTTTAAAGTAACAGGAATAGCCACATTTTTACAGCATTTTCATGAAGTTGTAGAACAATATGTTCAATATAAAACTCCCACTGGGAGGAAATACATGTTGAAGCAACATTTCAGAGCAATCACAGATCTTTTTACAGTTTAGAAAGGGATACAATGATTCAGTGGATGTGTCTAAATAAGCTCTTTTTCTTACATTGGCGTTGCCTGATTAGTGTGTTATACTAGTGCACATAATATGTTTTGCAATAACGTGGTAAAAATTTACAGTATCCATATTTGTTTATTAAGAATATTAAGAATATCAGAGATTCCTATATTAGGCTGTCAATGCTGTTTTTGTAGCTCTGTGAGGGAGACTCAGTGCTGCTGTAATAAAAGAGAGAAGATTAGCACTGAAATTTCAATCAACTTAAAAATAAAGAAAATAAAAATGGTTAATCCTTCTCTAACCTGCTCAGGTCGAATTTGGCTACATTCTTCTTCAGTTTTTTCAAGACCCACATAGCCATAGACACGCCTGATAACAAGGCAGTGCCCCCTGTTGCCACACCAGCAGTAACTGCAGTAATTGGAGCAGGAGCTGTGGAAACACGGTGAAGTGTGAATAGTGTCAAACTTTGAACTGAAACTTGTTATGTTAAGTTTATGCATTTTAACTTCTTGTTCCCCTTGTTATGTTGTTGCTTATTTACCTTGACAGGTGGGTTTCTCTGCAGTCCAGTTGCCATGATGACCACATGTCAGCAGCTCAGGTCCTTCTAATGAGTAGCCTTGGTCACAGGTGAAGGAGCACTGAGAGTTGTAAACTGACTCAGAGCTGGAACAATTGATGTGACTGTTTTTAGGAGGCTCAAGCAGCGGGCATCGAACAGCTGTTGGAAGATTTCACTTTCATGTCATTAACATACAAATGAAGTTGTGAACAACAAGTAATCCAGGTAAAATGGGTTCACATGTACCTGTGCAGGTTGGTGATCTGGAGGTCCATTGGCCTGGATGTGTACACTCCATGCTGTGTGCACCTTGCAGCTCATGTCCTTCATCACATGTAAAATGACAAACCATGCCAAGTGGATGGGGTGTGTCATGACTAAGAGATGAAGACAGAGAAGGGCTGCAGCTGATCTGACCATTTGTCGGCACCTCTGGAGCAGGACATCCTTTTGCTAAAACAAAGAAAAAGAAAGAAAGAAAATTAATCAGTAACATATAAGAACACAGACACTGTTAAAATTGCTATGATGAGTGAAAGGTGTTTGCAATAAATACTGATACAACTAGAAAAGAAAAATGTGTATTTTATTGAACGTGTCCTCATGATATAGAAGATGGGTGGGTTCTACTTTCCGTGTTCCTCTTACCTTCACAGTGAGGAATCTGCTGATTCCATGTACCT